CTGGGCCACAGAATGAGACTGTCTCAAAACAAACAAACAAACAAAAAACAAAACAAAACAAAAACAAATACACAGAAGACACACAATGAGGATCTATTAATTAAGTGCAAGAACCCTTTCTTTCATTGAAGCAGTACTGCCGTTTTCTTTCTCTTCACATATACCACTCTCATCATCAGATACTAGCAAACATCAGTCCCTCCAACGGAATATACAGGAGCCATCTCCATCTCAACCCTTCCTGGTGGAAGGGTTTGACAAACACCATACATGAAGTAGCAGCTAAAGGTTAGAAAGAATATCCACACATGATCTTATTTTGGTTTTTGTCTTTTTTCACATGTATCCTATGCTATGTTAATTGTCTTTTCATTCCCTTCCAAATCATTTCACATGTATATGATATTTGTCTTTTCGGTTAGAGTGTGTAAACAGAGGCTGTAGATGAGTTGGCAGCTAAAGTGTAGTTATTGAGAATATTTCACCACTGGAATCTCAGACTCACCTTTACTGAATAAAGTGCTAACCATAAAGCTGAAGCATATTGTGGCGATGGCATAAAACAGCAAAAAGATAACGATAAGGGTTGGGTCACTGCTTTGGATGACTGGTGCCGGTTTAACCTAGCAAAACAATTAGGAAACCAGTTTAGTCATGCTCTAAGTGGTACTGCACCAAAACCAAAGAGGAAAAATGAAACATCCATAAGTATTTTAAGAGTCTTAGTGAAACTGATGACTTTGCTCAGTGAAATGGAGAGTTAACAATTTATTTCTTACAGATGGCCCATCCCTCTAGGTCTAAAGTTTTGTTTGCTGAGAGACTGAGCAGTCTCTGAGTTTCCACTGTGGAGTCAACAAAAGCCACATTTTCATCCCCTAGAAACCCAAGGCCCATTTGGCCCCACACCATGTTTCCGCTTTCCCTCTCAGAGTTTATTCACAACATGCTGCAGTCAAATAGACACTTGCCTTGACAAAGAAAACTATGCACATAAAAATGATGATAATGGAATACAAACAGAGGAATGTGAAGAAATAGGCCACCCAGAGCATCCAATTACTGACTCCTATCATGAGCTGATACTCCTGTGGGAGAGTTGACAGAAATCAGATATCATGTAAAATAATACATCCATACAGTGCCTTAGACTTTTCAAAATACATTCACAAATATTATCTAGTTTAATGTCTACAATCAAAATGGGTTAAATAATGAGTATTATTATCTCCAATTTATAAAGGATAGAATCAGGGCTCAGAAAGTCAAGTAGCTTCATCAAAATTAGTCAGCTAGTGAGTAGCAGTACTGTGATTCTTAAAAGCCCAGAAATAATTTCCCCAGTAACTCACCTTATATTGTTAAGACATGTAAAACAGTTAAATGAAGCTATAAACCATCTATATTATCATCTCGTTTCTTTTTATATCCTCTCTCAGAAAGAATTAAAAAATTTTAAATATATTTTAATTCACTCACAATGGTTAGAAACAAACATTAAAAATAAGATAACAGGTAAGGAAGAAAAAGCTCACAGAATTTTAGCAATAATCTTTATGAACTATACATTTTCTTTAGAGGTAGTTGTTTATAGACATATGTGGTATTTCAAGTTTTAACAAAAAAACTTGAATATAATGTATAAGTCTGTTAAGAAGATTCAAGTAAGTGATATAAGTTTTCAGAGGCTAATTTAGATATTTTTACTGAATTTTATTAATATGTCAATAGTAAATTCGATAGCTTTAGGCTGTATAAGGGCAGATAACTGTATCTGCCTGGCACATAGAAGGTGTTTAATAAATGTCTGCTGAATAAATAAATGAATGAATGTGAGAATCTTTGGAAATATGCATATTTTTCAGTTTTAAAAGATGAATACAGGACCACTTTATTACTTACAGGGGACAAAAATAGAGAGATAAAGTGTCTCTTTTAAATTTTCTAGGGATCAGTGCTAGAACCAGACTTAACAAATTTTATCAAACAATTAAAATGACAAAGTATATTTAACAAAAAAGTGCAAGAGTTCTACACAGAACACTATAAAACACTGTTGAAAGAAATTAAAGCATAATAAATGGAAATATGCCTCATTTATATGGATCAGAAGACTTAATATTATTAAGATGGCAATACACCTAAATTTGTTCTGCAGATTGAGCACAATCCCTTTCAAAATCTCTGTGGTTATTTTACATAGATTGACAAGCATATAGAGTCTTGCTCTGTCACCAAGGCTGGAGTGCAATGGTGTGATCTCGGCTCACTGCAACCTCCACCTCCTGGGTTCGAGATCAGTAAGGAAAAAGAGAGCCAATTTAACCTAACATACACAGAGCATGCCACCCAGCAAAAACAGAATACAGATTTTTCTCAAGTGTGCATAGAACATATCCAGGATAAACCATATTACTCTACAAAACAAGTTTTATTACATTTAAAGACTGAAATTATACAAAATACCTTTTCT